CTCTTTTCACATAAAAATGAGCAACAAATCAGTTACTATATGGAAAAAAAAATGAGTAGAATGACATCACTTCAGACAATGAAAGCACCTCAGAAACATGTTCACAGAATACACCAAGTTTCCAGTCTTTAATCTCAAAGTATTTTAAAAGGTGTTAAGAAAAAAAATCTAAAAGATACTAAAACATTTTAAAAACTAAAATTTTATTTTAATTTTAGAAATGAGAAGATAGAATTCAGAACATTAAAAATACAAGAAAAATTATTTCAGAAATTTTTAGTGAAGAGAACGTTCCTTTGGATATCTTAGAACTGAAACCATTTTTTCCTACATACCTCTTACTAATTCATTTAACAAATACCCTCTGAGTATTTATTCTGTGGGAGCAGTTACAGAAACATCAAGAGCAGGCCCTTGCCCTCCAAGAGGGAGTCAAATAAAGGTCCTTCCTCTCTTCCCACATCTTCCTTCCTTCCTTCCTGTGTCCTCTCTCTGCTCTTTACTTCCCCAACCTCCTTCCACTCCCCATCATAATGATTTCATGAATAAAATCTAATTTTAGAAGTTGTTGGTTTAAGAGCAAAGTATTTTATTCATTTGAAATTCCAATTTTGGAATAGTGATTTAAGATGTTGGAAAAAATTTATTTGGCTCACTTCCAAGCAGCTTATATTATACTATCAGCATGACCCTAAAACTCTGAAACTCTGTATAAAGAAGCTAAAGTATCCTGAACACTTTGGGAGGAAGGTCTATACAAATATAGTACAGGTTAGTCATATGATTAATTAACTGATTGATTGATTGATTGATTGACTGATTTTGCTTTTTTTTTTCCTTAATGCAGTCTTTTCTCTAAGAAAAGCTGAGGTACTGGAACAAAAATACAATAAGATTGTATTTATCTTCCTCAAATATTTAGAGCCAGCACATCTACATCTATAATAAGACATAGAATTGAGAAGCAAAGGAAATTTGTCAATATCAGTAGATTAATTTTGTTCAAGAACTTAATGTAAAACAGAGACAAACAGAAATCCAGGAAATTAACTATTTTCTGATGAGTATTATGTAGGATGGAGTTCTTACATTAAACAATTTGATGACAAGTAATGGCTATGCGATGCTACTCAATTCCTTTGAGGCCTATATGCCTGGCATTTTAAGTTCCAGTGATTGAAAGCATTATACCTTTCTGCCTCTCCTTTTCTTTTTACACTCCCTCATAGTCCTATAAAGCTCTGAGCTCATTTCATTCTTTTTTTCCTTCCCTTGTCTTCTCTCTCTTCAAAGATATTTCATAATGATTCTGCTTTTCAAAATCAAGACTGCTTGAACTTTAGCTGAGTGTAATGAAGTTTCAATCTTTCATACAATGGCAACTACATCCTCTTTTTGCTCTCTTGGTGTAGTCAGAATAGCAACTGCCCGGCGTGAACAATAGGACTACTTTTCAGTTCTAAGGGATTGGCTGCTGCTGAACAGCAGTGCACAGAAATAATCCTTGGCAATCCCATGAGTGACATTTCTCATTCCTTATCACCCATGCTGCACACAGCCGGAACTTGATAAGACACCCAGAAAGAAGATAATGGCTGCTATCAAGCTGTCTAGGTAGAAATAATAATAATCATTTGTTTATGGGAAAGCAGCTGTCCTATTGTTTTGGATTTCATAAAATCCCAGAATCAGATTCTCTCCCATGCCAGCTCCAACCCCATTCCCCATGCCAATCTAATCACTTTGGAGTTTTAATGATGGGCATTTTTTTCATGATCTTTTGATACAAAAGACAAGGATGCATGTAAATATCCTATAATCATATTCAGTCACAGGATGTATTTAAAGACTAGAGCAGAAGCATTTTATAGGAAGATTTGGAGGCTGGGAGGGCTTTGTAATGAATACAAGAACATCCAGTATCCCTTTTTAAAATATGCACAAAACCTAGAACTACTACAAATGAAAAGTCCAGTGATTATTCCACTCTGAAATCTTAACCCCCAAAGTTTCAAAAATAGATCTCAGTTCCTCAAAGTGAAACTTCAAAAGATTGTGATGTTGTGGTTGCCAACAATACCATAGGTATCTCTGTTCACTGCTTGTCTTTTATCCTAAACAGAACAACTCAAGGCTCAGAAGCATCCCGACTTTTTTTTTTAATAAAATTTATTGGGATGACAATAGTTCACAAAATTACATAGGTTTCAAGTGTACAATACTGTAATGTATCATCTACATATCACATTTTGTGTTCACCACCCAGAGTCAGTTCTCCTTCCATCACCATATATTTGACTCCCTTTACCCTCTTCTGATTTTAATGTCATTGTTTCCTTCCCTTTGTGCTAGATTGCTGGCTGGGACTGGATAGGTGAGGTGGTCACTTTATTTCCCAGTTTTATGATAGAGTGCTACCTCTGTCACAGTCATCTCCATGTAGGGTTATCAGTGGGTGCTACTTTCCTTTCTTTATTTGCCCCTCTATGTCTGGTGAAAGAACTAGGCAGCATGCCCTTCACTGTGAAACAGTACAAGTGAAAAGAACCAATTATATCAGTCTTTTTCTCTCCATGTGGTATTAAGACATAGCCAAAGCCTGCATTTTTACTTCTAGAGCTGGTAGATAACTTCATTCTACCATTACAGTGAGCAGAGGGACTGAGTTAACTTTGTCTCTCTTTCCTGTGGTTTCCATGACAATCATCATCACGTAATTTACCCAGGCTAAAATCACTTTCCCCCTGTGTCCCCTTTTAGTAAGGTATGCTAATGCCATGGAGAATAAAGGGGACAAAGATATGGACAGGGTAAGTAGAAAAGCAACTTTGAAGAATTCCCTACTGCCAAGTTTCTTTATTGTGCATCATAGAATTACTCTGTAAGCCAGATGTCTACTTGCCTCTGAGTAATTCCAGTCCTCTTCCTACTCAACAAGCACACCCAACTGAATCTCAATCCCTCTCTCTCTCTCTGTCTCTCTCTCTCTCTCTCTCTCTCCCTCTCTCTCTCTCTCTCTCTCTCTCTCTCTCTCATATCTCATTCCACAGAGGCATGCCTTAAGTACTACTTTCTTTGTGGGNCTCTCTCTCTCTCTCTCTCTCTCTCTCTCTCTCATATCTCATTCCACAGAGGCATGCCTTAAGTACTACTTTCTTTGTGGGGCCTTCCTCTACCCTTTCCCAACTTCTCCTGCCCTCTAACAGAATTAGTTAATCGTAGTGTTTTGTATATAGCTGTATTACAGTCTTTTCCATTCAGTACTGCATACCTTTTTTGCAACAAGAATGTGAATTCCAAGAAATTAAGTAAATGCCTTTTTATTTTTTATTCATCTTTAGGAAGGTAATCCGTCATAATGAATAAGGTTTTGTATCAAACAGATCTGGATGTGAATCCTAGTTCTGACATTAACTGTCCTTTGTCTTTGAGTTTCCTGGGACTCAATTTACTAATATTTAATGTATACTATGTATACTAGAGTGCTCCAAAGAATTTCAGAAAAAAGCTAGTCTATGTTTAACAGGCTACAGGAAAGCCTTTGACTGCATCAATCATGAAAAGCTATGGGCTGCTCTGAAAGGAATGGGTGTGCCTCAGCCCTTGACTGTCCTGATGTGTAACCTGTATTGTCGACCAGTAGCCACCGTCAGGACAGAATATGGAGAGTCAGAATGGTTTCCTGTAGGCAAAGGTGTTAGACAAGGGTGCATTTAATCTCCCTATTTATATGAACATACCTTGTGAAGAACTGGGCTAGACTCAGAGAAAGAAAGAGGGAAAATTGGTGGAAGAAATGGAATACTGTTCTGCCATAAGAAAAGATGAAATAGTGCCATTTGCAGCAACATGGATGGACCTTGAGGTTATTATGCTAAACGAAATAAGTCAGACAGAAGACATTGAGAATCATATGATTTCACTGATATATGGGATATAAAACCGAAAACAACAAAGAAACAAGACAAACAAATAAAGAAACAAAAATTCATAGACACAGACAATAGTTTAGTGGTTACCAGAGGGTAAGGGTGGAGGGGGTGGCAGATGAGGGTAAAAGGGATCAAATATATGGTGATAGAAGAACTGACTCTGGGTGGTGAACACACAGTGTGACATATAGATGATGTATTACAGAATTGTATCCCTGAAACCTATATAACTTTACTAGCCATTGTCATCCCAATAAACTTTAATAATGAAATAAAATAAAATAAAATATAAAAAGAAATACCAATAACTTAAGATATGCAGATGACACCATCTTACTGGCAGAAAGTAACAATGATTTGAAATGACTTCTAATGCAAGTAAAAGAAGAAAATGCCAAAGCAAGACTGTATTTGAACATCAAGAAGTCAAAAATCATGACTACAGAAGAAATACACACTTTAACATAGAAAATAAAGACATCAAAATTGTTAAAGATTTTGCTTACATTGGTTCAGTCATCAATTTAAATGGAGAAATGGAGACTGCAGCCAAGATATAAACAGAAGGCTGAGACTCAGAAGGGCAGCAGTGGAAGAATGAGGAAAGATCATTAAGAGCAAAGATGTGTCATTAGAGACGAAAGCTAAGATCATCCACAGCCTCATATCTAATTATTATGTACAGATACAAAAGCTTGACAGTAAAGAAGGCTGAGAGGGGAAAAAAGTGAATCATTTGCAATATCGTGCTGGAGGAGAGTCCTGCGGGTACTTTAGACCGCCAGAAAGACAAACAAGTGGGTCCTAGAGCAAATGAAGCCAGAAACATCACTGGAGGCAAAAACGAGACAACTGAAGCCATCCTACTTCAGGCGCATCATGAGAAGGGAGGGTTCTTTGGAAAAGACAATGCTGGGGAAAAATAGCAGGCAGCGTGAAAAGAGGAAGGCCAAATAGGAGATGGGTTGACTCCATAAAAGAAGCCACAGGCTGAGTCTACAGGAGCTGAGCAGGGCTTTTGAGGGTGGGGCAGTGTGGACATCACTCATTCATAGGGTCCCCAGGAGTTGGAGCTGACTCAATGGCATGTAACACACACAAAATGAGGCTTTCATAAAGTTTTTAAAAAAGAACTAAGTGAATTAAAATTTGTGTATGTGAAATGTTTAACATAATACTGACATGCAATAAGCTCTCAATAAATAGTACCTATTGTTATGATTGTAATTAACATGGTGTCCCCACACACCCCACAACAGATTATCAATAAATATATATTAAAGAGTAAAATAAAAACACAAATAAACTACACACACACACACACACAAAAGCACACACACACACACACACACACATATACACACACACACAGCCATATACACATACCATCACCCTCCCACTATAAACTGCATTGCTCTCTGATTATCTGACCTCTCAAAATGAGACATAGTCTGTTGACCTACAGGGTATATAACAAGAGAAAAAAACTGATCACAAGAGCATTTGCAGGAATTCTCCTTTCTAGCAGCTTTACTGTAAATGGCGGTCTCACGGAACCCACAGGTACTCCTCTGTGAGTGCCGAATATGCCTCTCTCCTTGTGACATCTGTCTGAAAACACAGGAGGGGAGATAACAAGAGCACTGTACATCTCACCCACGACCTGCAGTCCTACAAAGGGAAAAGCAGAGGTAATTGAGTGTATGTTTGCTTGCCAGAATGAGTGAGTCATGGCAGAATTCAGGAAGCAAGGAGATGTGGCCTTGAACTTGCACTTCCTTTTCACAATAGCCATTTTTTGCAAAAGTCATTATAAATCATCTGGTCTTTCACCACAAGTGACTTAAAATCCTGGAAGTGTCTGGATTCAGACTTGGCATTTCCCCCATATGACACCAAAGGGGTTAATGCCTGGCCAGTAATCAAAGTCTGGCAGCTCCTACTGCACGCATAATGGGCATTGTTGTTCCTGAGAGTTTGTCTGTTTTTTCTGGCAGGCTTTGCTATTTGGAGCTGATTCTAAAACAGAAAAGGAAAAAGTCAGTATTTTTTAAGCACACATGCAACAAAACATAAGGCTGGTCATAGAACTGTTGTTTTGCTAGATTTCCAGGAAAGTCGTTGGCTTCCTATTCAGAGAAGATAAATTGTCAACTTAAAATACCTTTATCTCAAAATAAATTAATTTATATATGTACATGAGACACGCATAATGTCCTGAGGTGGCTGTCTTCTCTCAGATATGAAGCAACACAACTATATTAGCTAATACGTGAACTGTGGCTGGCCCATCCATCTGCATAGAACATCCATTTGCATGACGTTATTAATGGACTCACTCATCAACCTTCTCAGGTCACTTGCAATCTCAGGACCTGTTCTTTACTCCCATTTGATGGGCCCCCACAAGATGTTCTCATCTGAAATGACATGAATATGTCTAAGTTACCAATCCAACAAAATCCTATTACAAAACATCAGATTCTATTCCAGTGGGAAGGGCCAGAGGTTGTTGTTGTTGTTGTTTTTTTAATTCCCAGTATGTCATAAACCAACACTTGTATAAACCAAAATCACACACTTGGGCGTCAACATCACATCTAACTGTTATATTGGGTTGTAGGAAAAGTCATGATGTATTTTTACTGTTTTTTGTTGCAAAAATGTGTCATGACTTTTCCGACAACCCAATAGAAGGTTTTAAACATTTACGCTAGGGCTGGCTGAGTGGCTCAGTTGGTTAAGATCTCCCTCAAGAGTGAGAGCTCTGAGCAACAAGGTTGCCAATTTGATTCCCGGCCCGAGCTGAGCACTGATGAGTGAGCTGCCAACAGTTGGCAGGATGGCTCAGCTAAAAACAACAACAACAACAACAACAACAACAACAAAAACACTTACTCTTAGTGTCTGTATTTACCTTGTCAGGGATCCATAACAAACAGTTTGTGGATCACACTGGTTCATGGACCATACTTTGCTGGACTTGGATATATAATAGTTGTAGTGCTGATTGACTATATTCTAGAGCAAGGGTCACAAACTTTTTCTGTAAAGAGCCATAGAGTAAATATTTTAGGCTTTGGAAACCATATAGACTCTTGTCGCTGCTGTTGTAACGACAAATAGTCTTAGACAATAAAAAAATGAATGGGCATCGCTATATTCCAATAAAATTGTTTTTAAAAAGTAGGCTGAAGGCTGGATTTGTCTGGAGTTTCGCAAACCTGGATGAAGATAGTGACAATGATGGTGATGATGATGATGATGAGGAGGAGGAGGATAGCTAACATTTACTGACCAGCTATTATGTGTCAGTCCCTTTCTATCCCTCCACTATAGCCATGGGTTAGATAACATTGTTTTGATTTTACAGATAATAAAAATGTGACATCAAGAAATTATCTCAGTTTATTCTGAAAATAAGTGGATGGGTCAGGACCCAAACCACAGCCCCTGGGCTCACACTATACTACACATGTAATGAATGAGGTGTCTTTCACTATGAATGAAAACCTTATATTAGTGTCAGCTTGGTCATCTTTTTTTCCTGTCTCATTGCTCCACCCATCATCCACCTCAGCATTACCAAGATCTTGGCGTTCAGTCATGCTATAGAGTCCATATGGAATCAGGGCCAGGCATAGAGCGTCTACAAGAACCACACTCATCCATGCATTTACTTATTCAACAAATATGGGTTGAATGCTCATTTTGTGCCATATACAGTGTCATAAGCAGGGAGCTTTCACAGTGAACAAAATACACAAGATCCTGCTCTTAAAAAGCTTACATTCTAATAAAGGGAGGGAGATAATAAGCAAAGAAATGTATATCCTATGGAGGGAGGGGTGAGTCATGTTTTGAACAAAAATAAAGCAAAGAAAGAGGATAGTGACGAGGAGATGTCTCTCTTTTATCTAACTGTACTCTTCTTCACCAACCAAATACGTAAACTCCAAACATACCTACCAGGTATAAAATATTATATTTACAGGATTCTGCCTCATATCTTTACCAGTATTTTCCCCATAACCGTATTGGAAGGGACACTGAGGAAGAAAATAGTCCATTCATTAATGCTGCAAATATTTATTGAGCGGCTACTTCGTGCCAGGTGCTGTTTTCAGAACAGAGAGTTCCACAGTGAGCCAAATAGAAAAAAAACCTTACTGTCATGGGCTTCCATTATGGCCAAGGGAGTTGGAGAATAAACAAAAAATAGTAAACACATGTTAGAAGGTGATAAGTAAAAACAGAGTGAAAAAAGGCGTAGTGAGATAAGGAGACCTGGAGTGTGAAGTGGAAGAGGCCAGGTTGTAATTTTAATAGTTAAACAACTTTCCCTCAGTAGGGTAATATGTGACTAAAACAATGCCAGCAAGGCTTGGTTTTTAGTTCACCCATTACTATAGTCAGAGTGTCATCAATTAAAAAAAAAAAAAACCCACAGGATGTTTTGTGTTGAGTGTTCTATTTAAGTCTATAGAAAAAAATGTTGTTCTTTCAAAGTCATTTTTTGCCCTTCCCTTTCCCTTACTTCAGAGAAAATGTTAAGAGGCTGGTAGCTGAAACAATGTCGGGATGGGAGAGGGGAAAGGAAGGAAAAACTAAGGGCCAGCATTCACGTAGGGTGACTGTTTTAACAAGGATGTAGCTATGACCCAGCCCTCCTGGGTCCCAAGACAGCCTTGCTAAGGAACCCACAAAAACAGGGCTGGCAGACACTGAGCATTTTCCATTAAGTATGGCATTCACTTTTTTGAAAAATAATGAGATGTTAACATAGATTTGAAATTTAATCAGATCCAACTTGGGAACATGGTGTTTTCCTGCAAATGTGAAATACTTCTAAGCTTTTAGGAAAATATCATCCATATAAAGGCTAACTGCTGTTTTACATATAAAACTGCCATTCTTCATTGGTTTCTCAGCAAAGAAAAAAATATAATAAAATGAAACATTGCCTCAAAGACTTCTATTTTCTTGTGAATGTTAATTGTTTTCAAGGATTTTTTTTTTTTATAATTCTAACAAACTAGGAAGAGTGCTTGCAAGCTTAAGGCAAGGATTAGAGGATTTCAGTTCATAAATCATGAAAACAGAAATAAGTGAAATCTATTTCTTAATAACACTGTTAAAGAGATCTCAACAAATTAATTAAAATATTATTTAATTAGTGCTGGGAATGCCAATTATCAGTAATTCTGCCTAAAATCAAAAGAGAGTCAAAGTCAAATCTGCTTGCTTGGAAAGAATGTGCTAGTAACTAACCACCACACTATGCCACCAGCAATAACAGTGCTGTGAGCACAGATGTATTGTGTTAGGAACTATTCTATTGTAAGCATTTTGCTAAGTCTTCTACAGGATGTATTTTAGCAAATCCTTACCACGTCCATGGAAGAGAGACATTATTCCCATTTCACAGATGAGAAGCCTGGCTCAGAATGTGAAGTAATGTACTAAAGGGAATACAGCTAATAAGGCTGGATTCTACCAAATCTCTCTGCTTCTAAAATTGGAACTCTAGCCATAACTTTCTCCCTCTTATTTTTTCTACACTTCTCCTTTCTTCCCATAGTCTCTTCCATGGGTATGTACTTCTTTTACAATTGAAAACAAATCTTTTTTTGGAGAATATTTGTTATGTATTCACTACACTTACTTGATCACTAATCAGTTTAGTCTGTAAACCTCAGAAAAAAGTCCTCAGGGATGTCACACAGGCAAGTTCCATTGAGTGTCTGCGTTCGAAGCCTGGGCCTTTTCTATAAGCTTGATATTTTCCATCTGTGCGTATATTTAGATGTTTAGACATCTAAACATGTTTAGACACATGTTTAGACACACAGTCCTATTATTAAACATCCAGAGTAATAAAACAAATGCATTGGTGGAAGGCATTTTTATCTACCCTATTAAAAGACTTTTCACATTAAAATATAAATCCCTATTTCATTTGTTTGGAAAGTAAATTGCCTGAAACTGTGAAGTGCCTTTTTTTTTTTTCCCAGAATAAAGTTCTCTAGGGTGTTAGGGCAGGCAGGCTGGGTCCTGGGAGTCACTATTACCTCAATTGAATAAATCAAGCTGTTTTCCACATGTCAAGTCTATCCCAAAATCCACTGGTCAAATGAGGACTAAGAACCCTTCCTTCCCCGATCCATTCCTTACCCTCACCCTGAGAATTCTCTTAAGGCCACTAATTTTTTTCTAACCCAGACAGGACAGAGGAACTAAACTGAGGAACTAAACCTGGGTAGTTATGGCAAAGGGGAAATGTCACAAATGGGAGGAGATCTGACAGAATTCTGATAAGCCCCTCAAATAACCACTGGCCCAAAATGTCTTAAATGGGTTTCCATTTATACAAATTAAATATATTTATTTTTCAACATCACATGTGTCACCTATAGACAGATCCACCTAGGTAATAATCTTGAATATCTGTATCAGTGAAAGAGAACATTGGACTATGGGTGTCAAGTTCAATGTGTATTAGAAGCACTTGGAGTGATTTTCAACTTACACAATTTGGGCACCACAGCTGAAAATTCTGATTCAGTGAATCTGGGGGACCCAGGCATCAGCATCTTAATAAGTTCTCACCTCACACCTACCCACCATCACACACAAATACATAAACATGAATCTGAAACCAGCCTAATTCTGAAAAGCACTGGGCTACTCAGTGAAAAATGGTAGACTATCCCCCCAGATTAGGGAAAGTGAAGAAGACATTCTATAGGAGAGCCTCCAAGCAAGGAATCACTCCTGACTTTTCCAAGATGCTCACTGGAAAAGTGTGTACAGCCTTTATAAAGAGAATCAAGGCTATGCAGCTCTTTAACATAATGTGTTTGGTTTAAAAATTAAACGGGTCATCGGTATTCATCTCTTGAACCCCTTCTGCCACTCACAAACCTTGGCCCTATTTTTGTACTACATTACCCATTCTCCATATTTCTATTATTATAATTTCTGACATGAAATTTTATGTAAAGATCAATAGGTGCTTCTAAGAAAAGCAAAAAAATGAAAAGTTTGTCCCTTCTCAGAGCTCATTAAACCAATGAACTCCTATGCACTGCCAGCTCAGTCTACCATAACAAAAGACCCCAGTCTGGGTGGATTACTCAATAGTAATATGTTTTGCACAGTTTTAGAGACTGAGAAGTCCAAGATCAAGGTGCCAGATTCCTGGTAAGAGCTCTGTTCAGGCTTGCAGATGGCTGCCTTCTCACTGTATCCCTACATGGGAGAGAGAGAGGTCTGGGATGTCTTCCTCCTTTTATAAGGACGCTAATCCCATCATGGGAACCCCATGAACCCCTCTAAATGTGATTATCTCCCAAAGGTCTCACCTCCAAGTATCATAACATTGGGGGTTCAACATATAAAATTTTAGAGGAATACAAACATTCAGTCCCTAATATGCACAAAGATAAATTTTATATTTTTCAGAGGAGAGGCCATGAACAACTGCCTACACATGGAGATATCAGGTCATCGTTTCCTTCAAATAAGTCACCAAAAATATCAACTGATTTGAAAGACTGTAAATCAGTCTTATTTCCAAAGTAAAGATGATGATGTCAGTTTCCACCATATCAACAATTAAGTATTTGTATAAATATAGCAATAACAAAGGATGAAATTCAAGAATCTACTACTCAAGTTGTTGTTTGCTTTATAATAATTGCTTGGCTAGTGACATCTGAGGTCTGAAAATTAAGTTTGAGAACTTGCCCCTGTGCACTTACATTGGCAGCACTATACAAACAGCTCGGTGAGGTTTCATAACCTTGGTATATCAGTGTCTCACAGATGTGTTCGTGTTGACATGTAGCGGTGTCTTGCTGAGTGGCGTTCATTATTATTATTGCATGTTTTTGTGTGCAGTCGCGAGAATGTCTGAGTTTGAATTAGAGCAATGATCAAACATTAAATTTCTTGTTAAACTTGGCAAGACTGGAAGTAAAATCAGGAACATGTTAGTCCAAGTTTATGGGGATAATGCCATGAAGAAAACGGCAGTGCGCAATGGATTTAACATTTTTCTGAGAGGAGAGAACGTCACTGATGAAGAGAGGTCAGGGCAGCCAGTAGCAAACAGAACTGATGAAAACATTGCAAAAATTCATCAAATTGTGCTTCAAAATCATCAGCTGACTGTGAGAAGCACAACAGACCAAGTAAACATTGAGAGAAACAGTTAGGAAAATCTTAACGGAAAATCTTGGCATGAGAAAGGTGTGTGCAAAAATGGTCCCAAAGGAGCTTACCTATGAACAAAAGTAAAGGAGAGTCAAAGTTTGCCAAGACCTTTTGGAGTGACAAGACGATATTTTGGGCCATGTTATCACTGGTGATGAACCATGGGTGTATCAATACGACCCTGAGACAAAACGTCAAAGTGCACAATGGAAGTCAGCCAGTTCTCCATGACAAAAAAGTTCTATCAGTCCAAATTGAGAATCGAAATGATGTTGCTAACTTTTTAAATATCAGGTGGATTATTCATTATGAATTTGTACCGACTGGACAAACAGTTAACCAAATTAACCAAGTTTACTATTTGGAAGTGCTGAAAAGGTTGGGTGAAAAAATTAGACGAAAACAACCTGAACTTTTTGCCAACAATTCATGGCTCTTGCATCACGACAATGCACCAGCTCACATGGCACTGTCTGTGAGGGAGTTTTTAGTGAGTAAACAAATAACTGTATTGGAATACCCTCTGTACTCACCTGATTTGGTCCCGAATAACTTCTTTACCTAAAGATAAATGAAATATTGAAAGTAAGACATTTTGATGATATTCAGGACATCAAGGGTAATATGACGACAGCTCTGATGGCCATTCCAGAAAAAGAGTTCCAAAATTGCTTTGAAGAGTAGATTAGGCGCTGGCATTGGTGCATAGCTTCCCAAGGGGAGTACTTCAAAGGTGACCATAGTGGGCCGGCCAAGTGGCGCGATGGTTAAGAACTGGCTTGGGA